CAGGAGGCAATAAAGTGTCATCATTATGTGGACTGAAAACCTGTTTGTATTTTGCATCCTAATCCATGTGTCTAACAGTACAGGCTGCTGCCTGGGCACCTACAGAGTCCCTGGACTTGTTCTTGAAATGTCAGAAAACAACATAAGAGCAAAGCTTCATAGATAGAAATGGAATCCTTAAACATTACTATGGCAAAACCCGACTGGTGGTGGGAGTAGGAATCCCCAGGCTCAAGGAACAGTGGGTCAGAAATCCCAGGCAGGGCTGGACCTTGAACGGGAATGACAAAGAGGGCCATGTGGTGTTGAGTGTTTATAAAGCTGAACACACTGGAGATAGATGGCCACTAGATGGCAGTGTCTTGCAAGGAACAGGAAGACAAGGAAAGACTACAGTTGAAAGAGTAGCAAGGAGCCTGGCTCAGTCTCCCAGGTGCCAGTGGGATCTTCACCTTGAATCATGTGGGATTTCATGAACACATCGTCTCTGGTCATTGCTGGCCATGACTGGCATAAATGGGCAGGAAGTGTTGTTTATGGAAGTTTCTGGATGACTTCTGGATGTACCCAATGAATAAAAACACACAGAACCCCAATTTGAATGCGTAAGCAGTGAGAAGCCAGGGTTTCCTAAGTAGTCCTCACTTCCTGTCCCGTTGCCGTGATTAGAAATATCATGCAGACCTGTAGCACCCCACCAAGGAACAGCTGTGCCTGTTTGCTTCTCGATTCCTTGTGAAAGAAAACTAAACCACATACGCTTCCGCGTAAACAACACACACACACACACACAAAATAGTCCAAGATTCAAACTAATAGTAGCAGAACGTGTGTGTTCCATTTGCCGTGGGGACTATACTCCAACGAATCAAAGTGAACTGCTGTCTGATCTCATTTACATATTTGAAAAGTCAGGATTTGGAGAGACTACAAAGCACCACCAAACGCTATGTCCGCCGGGCCCCTGGTTTAGTAATGTGGATTCTTGGAATCTGGTAACTTAGTTATCTGGCATGTGGTGAAAATGTCGTCTGAGAAAATGTTTTCAAACATAGATGGATCCCCAAAATAGGTCTTCTCACCACCTCATCACATGCAAGCATTTTGCTGCTGCCGCCTCTGACTTCTCTCTTCCTCCTCCTCCCTCTTCTTCAGAAGTAAACGAATCTGAGGGAAAAGTTGAAGCCTCTATAGATGCCCCCCAAGTACAGCCCCTGGAGCCCTGGCCAGGGACTGTTAGTAACTTGAAGCTGATGTTCTCCAGCCATGTAAAAAAACAAAACAAAAAAAACACCTCATCTGAGCCTTTAACATGTCCCGAAATGATGCCTTGCCTTTACCTGTTTTCAAGTGTTGTAGGAATGGTTTCACTTACCGGATTTGTTTTTGCACGCTAACCCTAACAATGTCCACACCACTATGCAGGGCCAGGCATCTACACAGTGACTAAATATGGTGGGCAAGAGAGTTGTCCAATTCATACCATCTCAGTGTAGAAGTCTGGCTGCACAGCACACCGTGAGGTGGAGCTGTTGGAAACATCTGTGGCTTTCTGCCAAATGGGAGCATTGTGGTTCCTGATACAGGTGTTTCGCAGCCTTGTGTCTCCCCGTGGGAACACCAGGAAGAGCGGGCTCCTGTTGGTTTGGATGCTCACCTGTAAACAGGTCGCTGACCCAGGTGTCGCTTTATGAATTCTGGAACCATCTGGCAGAAAGGTTGTGTAAAGAAAGAGGCCATCGATAGATGCCTCTGTTCTGTGTTGAGTGTTTGTGGAGAGCCGCGGTCCCTCTTCTAGCTTGCTATGTGATTGTGAAATGCACCCGTCTCTGGTGGCGAGTATGACCCAGTCGTGTCTCGTTTGCAGTGGTGGCTGCCAGGCTAGAAGCAGAACACAGTCACTGTAGACACATGTCCTGGGTTCTGAGAACCACTCTTTATCTAAGGATTCCACCGGGCAGGGTCAGCAGGAACCGACAGAAGCCACCCGTGATGCATCTCCCCGTGATGCATCCCCCCCACCCTACTCCCAAGTTGACAGGAAAAAATACAGAGACCTTTCTGGGAATTTATATGTTACCACCTTTTGCGTCCCCTGGATTTATTACTGTTTCATGGTTAAATTTCCTTTCTGTGCCTGTATAATGCAGCCAGTTGTCGAAAAAGAAAACATCGATCTGAGACTTAGCCGGGTACCCTGGTTTCTTACCCTTCCCTCACAGCTGTTAGGACTGTTTCCTGGAAATTTCAGCTGGATGGTCCTGCTCCCCCACCCCCACCCCCACACACGCACACAAATGTTACCATTGTCAAGAAATCTGTTTTATTTTTGCAATGATGTCTTCGCGAAGTTTCCATCTCATTACTCTCTGAGTGTGCGCTCGCCTGTGTAGTTCTTTGTAACGCTCATTCCAAGGTGTTGGCAGGAATACAGCTGGCCGTTTCTTCCCGCCTCCCGTGGAATCTGGAAACACCACTCCGAGAACAGCGAGGCTACAGGACAGATGTGCTGCCTTGAGGAAGATGTTAGTTTTTGTGGGTTCCCCCCCCCCAATGTTTGTTTTGTTAATTATTCTGGTTAATAGAGAATAATGAAGATGGATTTCCATGTTTTGAAAATTTAGATTTCTAAAAATGCTGAAGTTACTTTTACGGCTCCTTGTTGATTTCATTTTTAAAAATTTTATCACTATGAATGGTATTGCTTTTCCTTTCTCCTCCTAGTAATGTCTGGTGTGGCGCGGTGGGTTTATGCACTGGACCACAAGGTCACTTTGAACTACAAAGTGGGAGGTTGAAACTCACCATCCGGTCCTTGGAAACCCTATGTAGGGTTGCTGTGAGTCGGAACTGAGTCTACAGCACTTAACAGCAACAACAGGGACAACCTGAAGGCCCATGAAATGCTTATCAATGTGAAGTGAAATAAAGCAAATAAAGGAGCCAAGCTTTGGACGAAGCCTTGTCTGCTTGCCGCCCGCAAGTGGAGCGGTTCAAACTACCAGCCATTCTGTAGGAGGAAGGTGAGGCCGTATGTTCCTCTAGAACATTCCAGCCTCAGAAACCCTAAGCTTAGTCCTGAAGGTTCACTGTGAGTCAGATCCACTCGATGACCGAGGCTGGGTCTAGATTATATTTTATATGCACCATTGAAAACAACCAAGTAGATGCACTTAGATGGAAAGATGTTCACGATCTACCGCTAAACCAAGAAAGCATATCATAAAACAGTAAATACAGTGCCATCCCACAAATGAGAGAAATGGAATGCAGTCCCATGAATGCATGTGCACGTATGAACACATACTTGTATAAATATGTAGACAGTCCCCAGGTTCACTGAGAACTTTGAATTTTACATATAGGAACCTGAAGTGGCAGATTTCCTATGAACTGATGTGGGGAAAATAGAATTTAAAGCGACAGCTAGTGTTCTCTGCTCTTACTAATTACAATGATAAATGAGTCCCCACCCCTAGCCAGAAGGCTGGCAAGGAATTGAAGAGCCATCCCCTTTCCTCCTATCCCAAAGGGAGAACCGAAGTTGTGACGTCCTTCTGGAACTTTATATAGTTTGCTCTTTTCATTTCCTGTCATTACTCCCACATTTCTCCAGCCCAAGAAACCAGTGCACAGTGCGTGGCTTATACACAGAGTGTGCTTACTAGATGTTGGTACACAGGGGGCACTTATTGGGTGCCGGCACACAGGGGGCGCTTACTAGATTTTGGCACACAGTTGGCACTTACCAGATGCGGGCTCAGGAGGGAGTAGCACCTTCAAAGAGTGAGACCTGCTTTGTTTTTGTTTTTTTCCATCCCAGATGGCTCTCCCTGTCCTCCTTCCTCATTGGTGTGTGAGCCCTCCTAGAATTCTGAACCCTACCCCACCTGCCCTGGTTGTCATTCTGCCCTATGACACTGCCCCTTTAAGTCTTAAAAAAAAAAAAGGGGGTGTGTGTGCGAGCGAAGTCAACGTCTCCATCTCACATCACTTTGAGAGTGGATTTCATTAGCTTTCCATTGCGGCGGCTGGACATCACAAAGTAGATTCATTTCATATATCATCTCAGATTTGAAAAGCACATGAAAATGTTTCTCCATTTTCAATATTGCGTGAGTAATGTCCCCATTGAAAAGTAATGGGGTGAAGTTGTCACTTGTCAGCGTCGTTATTAAGGAGGACGAGTCTCCAATGTTTCTCTCCTAATAAAATAAATCTGTCAGAAAATCATTGTGTTCACACGTCCTCTTGCATTGCCCGATGGAGACTTGGCCTAGAAGCGCCTTCCCTGGCCCTCTAGCACACCTGTGCAGGACGAGTGGTATCCTTGGAAACCCTAATAGGGTCGCTGTGAGTCAGAACTGGATCCGGAACTGCCACCCTCCTAACAATGCCACCTCCAGCAACACCACCACCAAAGAAGCCACTTCCGAACCTCAATGAACACCAAACGGAAAAACCCAACCTTTCCTTTCCACCGGCACTGGGACATTTTCAACTTTGCCCACCTTTGTTATTATTTTTTGTAGAATTGTACACTGGTATTGTACCCATCCATAGCAATGAAATAAAACACTAAATTCACATTATATGGCACAGCTGAGTAGTTAATAGGATTTTAAAAATCATTCTGCAATTAATTAAATATCTATATTTCTGTAGTCGGTTCTCTAAATAGGCAGCAAGAGACCTTTTTCTCCTTGGCCATGTACTGCAGCTTCCGAATGTTTTTTTCTGCTGGGCGTTACTTCCCTGTATGGTCCATTGGTTTCTAGTAATTGAATTCTGAACTCTTTAAAAAAGAATTAAAAGGTAATTCTGCAACGGGGACTAGCTGGGAAAGTTGGGAATGTTTTCATCACAACTCCCTGCTCCTAGGATGGGGATGTGTAGGCCTGTTCGCACGTATATTCTAAATACGTGTTTGTGGAAACGGCACACAGAGGAACGGAGCCCTGCCTGTGAGCCGAATGCTAACTTTTCCTTTTGCTTTGCAGTCTCGGAAGGGGAGCGACCCAGACAAAGAGAAGAAAGGCCTGGAAACTCGAGCCGAAAGCATCGGGAGCGGTCGAGCGATCCCAATTAAACAGGTACGTAGCCTCCTCACACCCCGCTTTCCCCGCGTCTTTATTTTGTCCCCCCTTTCCTATAGTTGGAGACACACCTCGGGTCTTCCAAGCGAGGATGCTGGCTCCTGCGCCAAGCCATGTTTGATGTGCTCTATTAATGAATGTGGAAGTTATTCACTTGACATCAATTAAGAGAGGTTCCTGTGTGTATTAAAATAGGATCATTAGAATAAGAAGGGGGAAATGTGACAACATACCTAATGAAGTGCAATGTGCCCGCCTGCATATGGAGTGAGACCGAGCTGAGCTGGCTTCAAAGGCTGCCTTTGTAGCGTGGCTTTGATTGGGCCGCTGGCTGCCCGGCGACGGGGGTCATTGAGCTCCACTGCACAAGGGCCCCTTGTGATCAGAGGCTCAGCCCGCCGTGGCCCTAATTTGCTCGCGCAGACGGACATCTGAACGCCGTTTCAGGCTGGTCTGTAACAACGAGGCAATTAGTTGGGATAATCATAACTGGTGTGTCAGCTGCACGGTCTTGTTTGTAATTTGCTAATGAAGGAATTGTAACTTTGATTAGGTTCAGTTTCATTTAGACCTTATTATATAAAGGAACATTTACAGCTGTAATGGGGGGCCTTAATTAAACTTCCTCATTACACAACAGGCCTTGAATTCAAGCATTTGTTTTGGCCTCAGCCGCTCGCCTCAAATAGGTCTCCATTAGCCCAGAAACGGGATACCAAATGGCTTTAGGTCTCCAGTAAAATTGTCGTTCACTGGACCGGTTTGGCGGCTGATAATTCCAGGGACAATAAAGAGTTTGGCCCTGTACAACAGTTCCTGGGAATGCCATCTTGGAATTTGTTAAAGATGGGCAATTGATTTAGAGTGCTCCGAGGCTCTGCCTCCGGGACCTCCATTGTGACCCATGTATTTCTCCTATACGCTCTCCTTTTTGGTCCCCTCTTCTACGGATGCCTGGATGGGATCTACGAATTGAGGAACCCACACGGGCTACTCTGAAGAAGGGGAGAGTCTTGATAACAAATACGATAGCCAGTTTCACTCTTCTGAAATAAATAAATAGGAATCCAACTCCAGCAAGGAGACTGGGACCACAGCTTGGAAAGATGGGAGAAACTGGCTTGAGAAAGACGCCATGCATCATAATGGGGTACCAGCTAGCACGTCTGGAGATGTCCTAGCTGCTACCTCCACCAGCAGGTTCCTCAGAACACCCAGGGGCTTCCTAGTCCCCTCTCCAAGGCTGGCTGCAGTGACAGAGATGGGCTCAGTTGCTGGATGATTAACGTGCCTGTGTGTTAGCACAGGCAGTGTTGGAGAAATGCGCTTCCTTCTCCAGCGTGTTAAATACAAAACCCGGGCTTGGCCGGTTCACGCTGAACCAGTTGTTTGCTTTGAGGGTACAGGCAGTTTCCTGGAGTAATGAATGTCTGAGTTACTTAGTTCATAGTCACCAGTCAACCCCCAGAAAGCCTGTTACATTAAACATTCAGGGCTTGTAACAGTGGCTTGTAACAACGAATGGATGTTACTTTGTGACACACACCAAAACGTCGTTACTGTATTATTGCACTAAAAGATGTTTTAGTGTGTGTGGAAGTATTTCTTTAATGTTTTTCATGCATACAAAGGCACTGTTGTTGTTGTTAAGTGCCGTCGAGTCGGTTCCGACCCATAGCGACCCTGTACAGGGTTTCCGAGGGTGTAAATCTTTACGGGAGTAGAAAGCCTCATCTTTCTCCCGCGGAGCCGCTGGTAGTTTCGAACCGCTGACCTTAAGGTTCGCAGCCCGATTCGTAACCACTACGCTACACAGGCTTCCATACAAAGGCACTATATCCTATGAAAAACCTTTGAACAACGGACTTAAGTCACTAACTGTAATCTTATAATCTACATACAAATTCAACTGAACAAACAGATTTAGAATTGGAACTCATTCATATTCTGGGGACTGCCCTTACTTAACATTTGTTTAATCTCTCTGTGCGCATTTATTTGTCTCCTAACTCTACATGATTCAGTTGTAATGCATCCTCGTGCTTATGCTAAAAGATGCTGTTTTAATAAAAACTAAAAAATCAAGGAACTGATTTTTCCTCATAGAAACAGCTACTGGAAAAGGTATTTCCTGGTATACTAAAACCTGCCCTGGCATGGCCCTTCGCTTGGGGCCCTCAGGAAAGGAGCCCCCCCCCCCCCAAGGGTGGGCCAGTCCCAGCTTGGAACTGCATCCCGACTCCCAGCAATGGTCAGGACGTTTGTTGTTTCCTCGTGGGTCGAATTCCAATCTGTGAGGACTGGCGCTAACCACCAAGCATAGAAGGAGGATTTGTCGTGGGAAGTCTAACTGTGGATCTTCTGAAGGCTCCCATAGAAATCTAAATCCCAATCTGATTTCCATGAGGAAGGGGGCTACAGAGAGGACAGACTGCACCCCAAGCCCCAGACATGGTCCTTCTCTGTTCCTAAGATGTGCCCCTTCCCATACCATGCCCCAGTCACCCCCGGCTCCTGCCCCCCATACTCCAGAAGTATGGCCCCAGGCCAGT